CTACCCTACCTTCGTAACGTAACTAGTACTAACTTAAACTAAACAACACACCCTAACCTACCTCCTCTCCACTAGTACTAACTTTAAAGTTAAACTAAACAAACGAACTACTCTCTCTCTCTCTCTCTCTCTCTCTCTCTCTCTCTGAGCACTAAAACACCACACTTCGAACCCACAAAAATTAGAATGATAGAACAGGGATATGGTCAGCAACAGTCAATCTCATGGTCATTTTCCCTCAAGAGGATTCCCATGCAAGAATATACATTTCAGATAGAATTAGAAAGACAACAATGACAAAGTACAACTAAGTATGTATTGAACAAGGTGATGATGAAGCTGATAAAGTGCAACACTTCTACCAACCCAGGAAAGTTGAAGTACTTGATGAATAAGTTAGTTACACCATCAGTCTCCGTTTACTTTGAGGGAGATCAGTCTTCATCATATTCACCACTTTCCTACAAGTTAGAAGTAGTGGTTGAGCACAAAATCTGAGGATAAATAGGTTGAATGGAAAAAATAGATGCATTTACCCTTCTCTCCACATATGCGGCCATTGCTTTTTCAAACTCTGCACGTTTTTCTGTTGCTATATCATAGTACTCAACCTTTTCCTGACCCAAAATCAAGAAATGGAGTTAGCTTTTTGGAGTCGAGTGACTGCAGATTTCCATGTACGATGAAGAAACCAAGTACATTCCAATTACCAATATGCAAGCGAATTCTGTAAACTAGTTTGAGCCAATATCAAGAAAGACAATGTGATGTTTCTTAAACTCAAGATAAGTTCTTGCATCATCATGTCTACCAAAGACAGGAGAATACCATAAGTAGGGTAAAAACATATCACTAAGTAGTGATGGTGATTATTTATCGATGTCATATCATCAGAACCATGGCCTTCTAATGTGCAACGATAACTAGATAATTGTCACATCAATCATTAGTACCTGTCAACCTGAGCCAGGACAAGTATTCATTTGACCAAATTCTTCCTAGCTTAAATTAGTTCTGAACTAGTGCCTCTAATTATGGCTTCTAGTATAGTCACCCCCATATAAGCCACAACCAAAAATACCAGGGTTTCGCATCTGGATCTAAGCGAATGCCTCTAGCCTTCTCTATTGATTTGGTTACATAGTGGCCATACTCCCTAAGGATCAAGTTTCCCAAAGGCAACACATAGGGCAATACTAATGACTTCAATTTAGTAGATACAAATCTCTTAGTAACTTGCATTCAAAATGCAAGCTCCCTCAGACCCCAGTTGACAAGTCATTTGGTTCCCATGAAACTTGCAAGCTGAAGTCGTGTGGCATGAAATCAGGTGTAGAAGAAAACAAAAAACTTCACCATAATGGAAAAAACCAATGTTATTATGTCCTCAGCATCCATTGGAACAATGGATTGTAATGTAGATAAGATGAAACCCATGAATGAGATTTTGTTTTGTTCAAGGGGGTCCCACTCTCTCCATAACTGTCCATCATATCAATAGATAGTATCATGGTTATGACCTAAGGATCATATAGTACTTTTCTTCATTTATTATACTACAATTTCAGAACTGCTTAACAATAAATTTTAGGTCTAATTGTTTCTTTCCTCTTCACACTGCTAGAATCTTGACTGAACTAGTAGTTGGTACCACATCCATGTTCCAACACATGGTCAACAAGGCCAATCAAAAATTAATCTTTTATATGTCAAATTAAGCTGAAAAGCTACACATCCACAAAGCAAATGTCTTATCTCATATATCCAAGTCACAAATTCGTGAACCAGCATTGATTGCCCTAAGCCAATGAATATAGACTTCAGAAAATAAAGAACTAACTACTGACTCTAGGGATACACAAACCTCATATGACATGGCTTTCCATTTCACTCCACACGCTTTGCCAATCTGAAACACGAAAAAATGCAGAGTAATGAACATGATAAGCAACAAAAATATACATCTACAAATAATTCAAAATTGAAAAAGACAAGAAACTAAAATGAATGAAAAATGTTGATATAGCTATTACATACATCTCGCATTGATTTGACATGTGGATTCTGCTCTTGATAGCCTTTCTTGAAATCTAACCTTCAAAACTCAACAAAATTGGTCTTCAAAATGCAAAAACCAACAGCTTTGAGTGAAGTAAAACTCCGCTCAGAGGGCATAAACGTATCTCAATTAAATACAGTATACACATAGAGCAACTAGATCAGCTAAATTACAATATCAGGTGTCTAATTTGCAGATAACTACAGCACTTTGGAGATGACTATGGCATAGACACCCATTCATCGCCCGTTAACCAAGAATACAACTTGCCAGTCTCATGTGTCAAAAGGCACCACAGCTAAACAATTCATAAGACTGCTTCAACAAATAGATGTTCGCCTATTTAATAGCCTAGATTTAATATAATTCTCTGAGACAGAGGAGAACATGTCAAGGATAGCATATTATGTTGCCTCTTTTGAATTTCGAACAGAAGACTTTGAGATATTAATGGAATTCGAGATGGGAAAGTCCTCTCCTAGTGCGAGACAAGGGATTAACCATGCCAAAAAGCACTTGTGTCTTGTGAACAACATTTAAATTGTACCTAAATAATTTACCGTATTAAAGTATTCCGTGAATTACATGACAATAAAAAAAGAAAACAAGAAAATTAGAAATATCCTAATCCTATACATAAGAAGAAATATTCTTTATTAAAAGTTTGTGAGGAGAAATTCTAACCTCTTTAGGTGGTGGAAGGGAGAGAGGGATAAGGAGCTATTGTTAAAACACAAAGGCAGCTTGTGTTAACTTTTTTAAAAAGTTGGACCCCCCACACTTCCCCCCATTTTATTGTATATAGAATTTTCGTTTTTTTATTTAATAGGTAAGTTTTGCATATAATATATTGTTAAGATGCTGGAAGCACAGATCAAACATAAAAATTTACAACTTTAGGCTGTAAGTGAAATAATTATTACTCAAAAGCAACATTAAAAGACAAAATCAACTTGAGGTGTCCTTTAAATCTCACAAATGACAAGTCACAAAAGACACTCAAAAGTCATTAAAACAAAGTCGCATCAGACCATCTAAGGCCATAAACTACCAAAAATCTTCTTCGCCCCATAAATATGATGAACTCAATTATGAGCTTGAGTTTCATCATCACTAGCAACATGAGGTCGACGTCCAGAATGCAGTCCACATGAATCTGATGATTATGAGAAGCCATCATCAGAGTCATCCTCCTCCTCCACATAAAAACATTCTTCCCTTGTGTCCTCTAAGTCTACATCCTCCTCTTCCTCCAAGATCGTCCTCCTCTTCATCTGTGCCTTCTTCTTCCCCTTCCCCTTTTCCTGGGCCACTTCCTTCCCCTTTCTCTGAGTTTGGGATCTATTAGCTCTCATAGGACTCGATGACAAACCTAATAAAAACGATTGAAATATACCAACCTTGTTAAAGTGGATTTGATATCGGGCCAAACCAAAATGCTTGGGTTCCCAAGTCTCCTTCTTTACAAAGACTAAAAGCCTCAAAAAGATTGGGGATGAGTATCCTTTAATTTCGTGACTATTCGAGGTCAAAAATAATTCAATCTCTCAACAAATCTTCAAATCTAGTTTTTCTCAAGTTGTTTATCGCTCTAAACTTAACTAAAAATGTTTTAAGGGACAAGAACGGTTCCCAAAACCCTTTTCCCCCTTTTTAGGCGGGTAAAATCATAATTTTACACATTTCCCTCATGGCGGATTCGTCAAGGCAGCACCTAGGTGCCCATCTTTTATGCTGCCTAGGCAGGCTCCTTGGACGCCTAGACGGGTGCCAAGCTGGACCCACCTAGAGTATGCCACCTTGCCCAACTCTAGGCGTATTTAAATAGATATATATATATATATATATATATATATATATATATATAT